TTCCAAACAATACAAAAAGAGGGAATCCTCCATAACTCATTTTATGACCAACATCATCCTGATACCAAAACCTGGCAGAGACCCAACTAAAAAAGAAAACTTCAGGCCAGTATCCATGATGAACATTGATGCAAAAATCTGCAATAAAATACTGGCACACAGAATGCAACAGCATATCAAAAAGCTCATCCATGACGATCAAGTAGGCTTCATCCTGGGGATGCAACGCTGGTTCAACATACACAAGTCTATAAAAGTAATCCACCACATTAATAGAACCAGAGACAAAAACCACCTAGATGCAGAGAAGGCCTTCGACAAAATTCAACAGCTCTTTATGCTAAAAACCCACAACAAACAAGGTATTGATGGAACATATCTCAAAATAATAAAAGCTATTTATGACAAACCCACAGCCAATATCAGACTGAATGGGCAAAAACTGGAAGCATTCCTTCTGAAATCTGGCACTAGATAAGGATGCCATCTCTCACCACTCCTATTCAATATAATACTGGAAGTTCTAGCCAGAGCAATCAGGCAAGAAAAAGAAATAAAGGGTATTCAATTAGGAAAGGAGGAAGTCAAATTGTTTCTATTTGCAGATGACATGATTGTATATTTAGAAGACCCCATCATCTCAGCCCAAAATCTCCTTAAACTCATAAGCAACTTCAGCAAAGTTTCAGGATATGAAATCAATGTGTAGAAATCACAAGCATTCCTATACATCAATAACAGACTTTTTTTTTTTTTTTTTTAAATAGAGATGGGGTTTCACCTTGTTGGCCAGGCTGGTCTCAAATTTCTGACCTCAGGTGACCCGCCTGCCTCGGCCTCCCAAAGTGCTGGGATTACAGGCGTGAGCCACCGCGCCCACCTGATAAGACTTAAAGAGAGCCAAATCAAGAATGAACTGCCATTCACAATTGCTACAAAGAGAATAAAATATCTAGGAATACAACTAACAAAGGATGTAAAGGACCTCTTTTTTTTTCATTTATTCATTTTATTGCATTTTAGGTTTTGGGGTACATGTGAAGAACATGCAAGATTGTTGCATAGGTACACACGTGGCAGTGTGAGTAAAGGACCTCTTTAAGGGGAACTACAAACCACTGATCAAGGACATAAGAGAGGACATAAACAGATGGAAAAACATTCCATGCTTATGGTGAGGAAGAATCAATATGAAAACGGCCACACTGCCCAAAGTAATTTATAGATTCAACGCTATCACCATCAAGCTACTGCTCACCCTCTTCACAGAAATGGAAAAAAACCACTTTAAACTTCATATGGAACCAAAATATAGCCTGCATAGCCAAGACAATCCTAAGCAAAAAGAACAAACCTAGAGACACCACGCTACCTGACTTCAAACTATACTACAAGGCTACAGTAATCAAAACAGCATAGTACTGGTACCAAAACAGAGATATAGACCAATGGAACAGAACAGAGGTCTCGGAGGCAACGCCACACATCTACAACTGTCTGATCTGTGACAAACCTGACAAAAACAAGCAATGGGGAAAGGATTCCCTGTTTAATAAATGGTGTTGGGAAAACTGGCTAGCCATGTGCAGAAAGCAGAAACTGGACCCCTTTCTGACAACTTACACTAAAATGTAAAACTCCAGATGGATTAAAGATTTAAATATAAGACCTAACACCATAAAAACCCTAGAAGAAAACCTAGGCAATACCATTCAGGACATAGGCATAGGCAAGGACTTCATGACTAAAACACTAAAAGCATTGGCAACAAAAGCCAAAATAGACAAATGGGATCTAATTAAACTTAAGAGTTTCTAAACAGCAAGATAAAAAATCATTAATATGAACCAGCAACCAACAGAATGGGGAAACATTTTTGCAATCTATCCAACTGAAAAATGGCCAATATCCAGAATCTACAAAGAACTAAAGCAGATTTACAAGAAAAAACAAACAAACCCATTCAAAAGTGGGCGAAGGATATCAACAGGCACTTTTCAAAAGAAGACATATATGAGGCCAACAAATATATAAAGAAATGCTCATCATCACTGGTCATTAGAGAAATGCAAATCAAAACCACACTGAGATACCCCATCTCACACCAGTTAGAATGGTGATCATTAAAAACCCTGGAGACAACAGATGCTGGAGAGGATGTGGAGAAACAGGAACACTTTTACACTGTTGGTTGGAGTGCAAATTAGTTCAACCATTGAGGAAGACAGTGTGGCAATTCCTCAAGGATCTAGAAATAGAAATTCCATTTGACCCAGCAATCCCATTACTAGGTATATACCCAAAGGATTATAAATTGTTCTGTTATAAAGACACATGCACACATATGTTCACTGTGGCACTGTTTACAATAGTAAAATATTTTTAAAGTATGTATTTGTACACTTTATAGACTATAGTATAGGGTAAATAACTTTTATATGCACTGTAAAAGTCTAAAAATTCAAGTAACTTGTTATATTGTGGTTGCCTGGAACCACATCTGCAATATCCCTGAGGTATGCCTGTACAAGAAAGTATGGATAACATACTAAAAAAATTGGGAAACAATTCATTAACAGAATGACAATTTTGAAGTAGAAATAGGTATGATAACAAAACCAAATAGAAATTCTAGATATAGAGAATACAACAAAAAAATTTAATACCATGCTTCAGGAGCTGATTTTATTAGCAAAAAAAGAATCAGCAAGCTTGAAGAAAAAAACATTTGAAATGATCCCATCAGAGGAACAACCAAAACAACAAAAGAATAACAAATGCTATGGCAATTATGGGACACAATCAACCCAACTTTCATATAATCAGTTTCTGAAGGGGAAGCAAAAGAAAAATGCCTAAAAAGCATAGTTAGTGAAATAATGACTAAAATTTTCCCAAACGTGAAGAATGATGACAACTGCAGTAGTCATGAATCCAATTCAATCCAAAGAGGAATTTATCAACACACATCACAATCTAGTAATGAAAAACAAAGAATGCTGAAAATAGCAAAACAAAACAAAACAAAACAAAAAAAAAAACGAAACAAGAAATACATCACATTCAAGGGAGCTTCATTCAATAGGGCTTTCTCAGCTGAAAACCTACAGTCCACAGAGAGTGGTATGATGTATTCAAAATGCTAAAGCAAACAAAAATGTCAGTCAATAGTGTGCTTGGCCAGGTGTGGTGGCTCATGCCTGTAATCCCAGCACTTTGCGATGCCAAGGTGGGTGGATCACAAGGTCAGGAATTTGAGACCAGCCTGGCCCACATGATGAAACCCCATCTCTATTAGAAATACAAAAATTAGCTGGGTGTGGTGGCATGCACCTGTAATCCCAGCTACTTGGGAGGCTGAGGCAGGAAAATTGCTTGAAACTGGGAGGCGGAGGTTGCAGTGAGCCAAGATCATGCCACTAAACTCCACCCTGGGCAACAGAGCAAGAATCCATCTTGAAAAAAATACTGTGCCCAACAGAGCTATTTTGTAGAAATAAGGGAGATATAAAAACCTTTTCTATACTAGAAAAACTAAAGGAGTTTATAATCAGTATGCCTGCTTGATAGGAATTACTAAGGGGGGTACATTATGTTGAAATAAAAGCCTGCTAAATAGTAAGAAAAAAGCATATAAAAGTAAAAAACTTCAATGCTATTGGTAATACACAGTCATGCTCAAAATGCTCTAATATTCTAAGGGTGGTTTGTAAAGCAATTTTATGCCTATTAGTAAGGTTAGCAGACAAAGCTAGTGAAAATAACTGTAGATACAATAAATTGTTAAGATATATAAATTTTAAATACAATGTAAATTTTGACATAAAATTGTACAAGATGGGAGAGAGAATGAAAATGTAGAGGTTGGGATTCAGTTAAAGAGAAGTTGTTATCAGAAGTTGTCTGAGTAGCCTGTTATAAGAATATGATATTTTATGTAAGTTTCATGATAACCACAAAACAATACCTATAGTAACTGCACAAAACAAGTTTAAATAAAAAATAAAAAAAAAACTTTTTTATTTTGTGCAATGTATGCAAGATTTTAAAGCATACCACAACAGAAAGCCATCAAACTACAAAAGAGTTCAGCAAGAGATACAAAGGATACACAGAACCTATAAAATAATCAGAAAAAAAATTACAAAGTGGCAGCAGCAATTCCTTCCCTATAAATAATTACCTTGGATTACATTGTCAAATAAAATGACATAGAATATCTCAATGGATAGAAAACAAGACTCAAACGTGATGCCTACGAGAGACTCACTTTACTAGTCAAGACATATATAGGCTGAAAATGAAATGAAAAAAGACATCCCATGCAAATGGAAACTAAAATAGAGCACGGGTAGCTATACTTACAACAGAAAAAATAAACTAAGTCAAAAGCTATAAAAGAGATAGTTCACTGCATAATGATAAAGGAATTAATTCATCATGAAGACATATTACTTGTAAATAAATATATTCACTCCAGGGCAGAAGACCTAAATTCATAAAGCAACTATTACATAATCTGATGAGAAAAATATACTGCAATACTATAATAGTGGGAGACCTCAATGCTCCACTTCCAACAATGGAAAGATCATTTAGAAAGAAAATAAATTAAGAAACATTAGATTTGAATTACACTTTAGAGCAACTGGATCTAACAGACATGCACAGGACATTCTATCCAACAGCAGAAGTATACACATTCTTCTGAAATGTGGGTGGAACATTTTCCAGGAAAGATCATATGTTAGGCCACAAAACAGACCTTAACAATATTAGAGAACTGAATTACATCAATAAATTTTTTGCATCCCAAGGGTAAAAAGCTAGAAATCAGTAACAGGAGAGATCTTGAAAAATACACAAAATGGCAAAATTTACATATTCATAAATGGCTCATGAGTTACAGAAAAAAATTTAAAAAAAATTTAAGACACAAAAATAAAAACACAACATATCAAAACATATAATGTAGTTAAAGCAATCTTATGATAAAAATTTGTCATTATATTTCTATATCAAAAAAGAACTACAAATTTAAAAATGTAACATTACACCTCAATGAACTAGAAGAGAAACAAAGCTAAGAATTAGCAGAAATAAGAAAATAGCAAGGATTCAAGTGGAAATAAATAAAATAGATGTGAGAAACTCAATGGAAAGAACTATTAATATTGAATTGTTTTTTAAGGCAATAAACAAAATCAGCCAACCCATATCTAGACTGACTAGAAAAAAGACTATTCCAAAAAATAAGACCAGAAATGAAATAGGAGAAATTACAACTTTTAACACTAAAATACAAAGGATTATAATTGTTCTTACAATGAACAATTATATGCCAACAACTTTGATAACATAGAAGAAATAAAAATATTTCTACAAATATACAACTTACTAAGACTGAATCATGAAGAAATAGAAAATCTCAGTGGACTAATACATAATACAGAAATTGAAGCAGAAATTAAAAGCCTCCCACGAAAGAAAAGCATAGGACCAGAAGCCTTCATTGCTGAATTCTGACAAACCTTTAAAGAACTAATACTAATTACTCTAAAACTCTTTCAAAAAAGTGAATTGGGGAATGCTTCCAACATTAGGCTACCATCATTCTGATACCAAAGATAGACAAGGACACTACAAGAGAAGAAAATACAAGGCCAATGTCACTAATGAACCCTGATGCAAAAATCCTCAACAAAACATTAGAAACCAAATTTAAGAATATATTAATGGAATCATTCAACATGATCAAGTGGGATTTATGTTTTGGATGCAAGGAGGTTGCAACATATGCATATGAATACATGTGATAAAATGCATGAACAAAGCCAAAGACAAAAATGATATGATTCTCTCAATACAAGCAGAAAAAGCACATGACAAAATTTAAAACACTTTCATAATGAAAACTATCAACAACTTAAGTATAGAGAAAATGTATCTCAACACAAAAAAAGAACCATATATGGCAAGTGCTTAGCTAACATTGTTCTCAACAGTGAAAAGTTGAAAGCTTTTCCTCCATGATCAGGGACAAGACGCTGATGACCACTCTCACCACTTCTTTTCATCATAACAGTGTAATTCCTAGATAGACATTTAGGCAGAAAAAAGAAAATAAAAAGCATCCTACTCAGAAAAAAAAAAAAAAGTGAAATTATCTCTAATTGCACACAACATGATCCTGAATATAGAAAACCCTAAATATGCTACCAAAAACTGTTAGAACTGATGCATGAATTCAATAAGGTTGCAGGATACAGAAATAAACTGACAAAGATCAAAAGTGTTTCTGTATACAAATAGCAAACTATCTGAAGAAATTAAAAAAAAATCCCAAGTACAATAGCAACACAAATTAAATACTTAGGTGTAAATTAAAGCAAAAAATTAAAAGTCGTGTATATGACAAACTATAAAACACCAATGAACAAACCTTTAAAAACACAAGTAAATGAAAAAACATCCCATGCTTGTGGGTTGGATGAATTAATATTGTGAAAATGAACAAAATACCAAAAGTAACATATTTGATGCAGTCACTATCAAAATTTCAATGCCATTCTTTTAAAGAAATGGAAAAAAATACTGACATTTGTGTTGAACAAATAAAGGCCTCAAGTAGCTAGAATAATCTTCAGCAAAAAGAACAAAGGTAGAGACAGCATGCTACCTGATTTCATTACATATTGTAAAACAATTGTAATCCAAATAGCATAGTAGTGGCATATTAATTGCCGAATTGGCTAATTAAACAAAATGGAAAACCCAGAAATAAACCCACACACAGTCAACTTATTTTTGACAAAGGTGCCAAGGACACACAATGGTTAAAGGATAGTCTGTTCTACAAATGATGTTGAGAAAACTGAATATCCACAGGAAAAATAAAGTTAGACTTTTAACTTACACCATATATTAATATCAACTCCAAATAAAGATTTAAATATAAGACCTGCACTGTAAAACTACTAGAAGAAAACATAGAGTTAAAGCTCCACAACATTCGTCTTAAGCAATACTGTTTTTGATGTAATCCTGATAGCAGTCAATAAAAGCAGAAATAGACAAATTTGTTGTGGCTTATGTTTTGAATTTCTGGTCATTTACTCAATTTGGTCATTACTTGCTGGCACCTCATGGTTACAAGTATCAGCCAAGAGATGCATCCACCTTCCTACTGTAGTATTGGAAAATCACTGTTTTATCCTCTGCCTGACCTTCTCTGACATTCTTGGGATCTACATTTTGATGGAAATGTAATACTCTGAAATCCTAGGCACTATATGAATCAGCAACATGTATGTAGACTCTACTTTTCGACAGCAACACAGTTGGAAATGTAGTAATCACAGTTGGAAAGGAATACAGATTTTATATCTGCTTCTTAGAGATCTGGATTCCACTAAAATGGATTCATGGATGTCAGGGCATTATGGGTGTGGCCTGATAATAAACCTCTCCCTTTTCAGTGCCAAACCAACTTAGAAATAAAAACAAGTGGTCAGATCAATATCCATTATTCCTAGCAAACTGATTTAGAAAATATGGCTTGATGTTGACCAAAAAAGACTTGTAATATTTTCCCCAGTCTTGACTTTGGAACCTGAACAAAGAAAGTTCATCATCTGAAGAATAGTCACTTACCCACCCAGTGTAGGGAAGGTCTTCACCTGCCTTCCACTTCTCCTGTTCAGATTCCAGAGAAGAAAGAGACTAGATATACTCATTGATCATTAAGTTTGCCTTACTGACAGGCAAACGTGGACCAATGCATGTAAGATTTCCCATCCACCAAATAAGTTGCATCTTCTCCTGGCTCTGGGAATGAGCCAGATAAAGGTGAAGAGTTGGCAGTGTTTGTACTCAATACTTGTGAGAAGACAGAAGGTGTTGTCAATGGGTAGATGGAAATGGAATGAGGTGGGAAAGCTTTACTCATTACCAGCTTCTTTTCATTCATGTAGTATATGCTGAAGGTTGTTCCTAGAAGAATTGACTTCTAGAAAGATGATTCCTCTCACAATTGCCTGACCTTGAGTATTTTTATTTTTGTGTTAAAGAACTGATGTTGGTTTGTGTATGCTGAAATAATGGGGGCAAGCTCTGTATGAAAGAAAAAGTTTCCTTTCTTTTCTAGAGCCATCTGTTCAAGTTCTCTGAGTATCCCCATTTGTGGAATGAGTGTCCACAACAAACTCCACAGTCCTGTGTATGGTCATTGGAGGTATATATCAGAGTGACACTTGGAAGCATGGTATAAAGAGGAAATGTGCATTTGCCAAATGAAAAATTAAAATGTAAAATAAATGTTTAAAAGGGAAAAACAGAAGGCAGGTACTAGATTATATTTTTATCAACTGGGACAAACATTGCAGTTTTAGCCAAATATTTGTCATCTTTGTAGTGGAAGACTTTGACATGTAAGTTCTAAATTACCCTTTTGTTTATAAGTAACTGTGTACCTTGATGAGATGGCTCCTGTTAGTAACTTACGCTACCTATTGAAGGTTTATGAAATTCTTCCAAGGCATGTGAGCCAGTGCTTCTCAGCAAAGCAGTGACATGCCTGCTTTTACCTAGTTTCCCCAGCCTTATTAAAGAATTCCTGAACAATATAAAGAAAGTTCCCTCAGCAAGAGGTAACTTCTCAATCTCTAAGCCCAGGAGAGAATGTGGATTATAGGGTCTGAGTGGAGTGTGAAGTTATTTAGGTAATACGAATACTTTCAGGCCAGGCACAGTGGCTCATGCCTGTAATCCTAGCACTTTGAAAGGCCAAGGCAGGCTGATCACCTGAGGTCAGGAGTTTGAGACCATCCTGGCCAACATGGTGAAACTCTGTCTCTACTAATAATACAAAAATCAGCTGGGCATGGTGGCATGTGCCTGTAATCCCAGCTACTAGGGAGGCTGAGACAGGAGAATCCCTTGAACCAGGGAGGCGGAGGTTGCAGTGAGCCTAGATTGTGCCACTGCACTCTAGCCTGGCCAACAAGAGTAAAACTCTGTTCCCCACCCCCCACCCAGAAAAAAATTTCTTTTCCTTTTAGGCAAGGAAGCAAATCATAAAAGCAAAATTGAAATACAGAAGTAGGATACTGCTATTGGTAAAGTTTAGTGAAACAAAGTTTTAAAACACAGAAACAATAAAGAATATTAAGATTTAGAACAAAGTTTATGAAAAAGTATAAAAAATACATTTTTTTTCAGAATACATAAGGAACTCTTACAAATCAACAACAAAAAAGATAATTAAAACATCATCAAAGGAAATGACTAGACATTTCCTCAAAGAATATAGTCATATGTCCAATAACTACATGAAAAGATGCTCAAAATCATTCCTTATTAGGGAAAATGCAAATTAAAACTACAATGAGGTACCACGTCACATCACTAAAATGCCTATAATAAAAAATGAAAAAGAAATAATGAAAAGGATGTGGAGACACTGGAACCTGCATACACTGCCGGTGGGAATGTAAAACTGTACAGCTGCTTTGAATAACAGCCTGACAGTTCCTCAAGATTAAACAGTTACCATTTCACTCAGAAATTCCACTCCTGAATATTTACCCAAAAGGAACATATGTCCACATGAATCCAAATGTCCATGAGCTGATAAATAAAATGGGGTATTTCTCTGCCATAGACTATTACTTGGGGGGAGGGGGGAAGATGACATAAAGAATTCATACATGCTATACAATATATATGAGCCTTGAAAACATTATGCTAAGTGAAATAACCCAGACATAAAAAGCCAAATAATGTATAATTCCACTTATGTGATGTACCTGACATAGGTATATTTGCAGAGACAGAAAGTAGAATAGCGGTAGCCAGGGGTAGGGAGAGGGATTATGGGGAGTTATTATTTAATGGGTAGAATGTTTCTGTTTGAGATGATGAAAAAGTTCTGGAAATGGATAGTGGTGCTTGTTGCATAACATTGTAAAGTACTTAATGCCACCAAACTTTGCACTTAAAATTGTTAAAACTCAAAGCTTTTGTTATGTGTCTTTCTCCAGAACTTTCAAAAAGAATTAACAAAGTTTAAAGAATTTTAAACAGAATACAAGATTTAAACTCCAAAATTCAAGAAAAAAAACTACATTTACAAATTTATCTTAATATGAATTTAACCTCCTCTGAAAATCAATTAACTATATCACTGTGTTAACTAAAAATAAAAACCATATGATTATGTATTAGATGTTGACAAAGCATTTGAGAAAATTGAACAACCATTTTTTAAACATAAAACCTAACACCATAAACACCCTAGAAGAAAATACAGGCAAAACCATTCAGGGCATAGGCATAGGCAAGGACTTCATGACTAAAACACCAAAAGCAATGGCAACAAAAGCCAAAATAGACAAATGGGATCTAATTAAACTTAAGAGTTTCTGCACAGCAAAAGAAACTATCATTCGAGTGAACCAGCAACCAACAGAATGGGGAAAAATTTTTGCAATCTACCCATCTGACAAGGGCTAATATCCAGGATCTACAAGGAACTAAAGCAGATTTACAAGAAAAAAACAAAAAACAAAAAAATCCATTCAAAAGTGGGAAAAAGATATGAACAGATGCTTTTTAGAAGAAGACATTTATGAAGCCAACATATGAAAAAATGCTGATCATCACTGGTCATTAGAGAAATGAAAATGAAAACCACATTGAGATACTATCTCATGCCAGTTAGAATGACGATCTTTAAAAAATTGGGAGACAACAGATGCTGGAGAGGATGTGGAGAAATAGGAACACTTTTACCCTGTTGATGGAAGTGTAAATTAGTTCAACCATTGTGGAAGACAGTGTGGCGATTCCTCAAGGACATAGAAATAGAAATTCCATTTGACTCAGCAATCCCGTTACTGGGTATATACCCAAAGGATTATAAATTGTTCTATTATAAAGACACATGCACACGTATGTTCATTGCAGCACTGTTTACAATAGCAAAGACCTGGAACCAACCCAAATGCCCATCAATGATAGACTGGAGAAAGAAAATGTGGCACATATACAACATGGAATACTATGCAGCCATAAAAAAGGATATGTTCATGAGCTTTGTAGAGACATGGATGAATCTAGAAACCATCATTCTCAGCAAACTGACACAAGAACAGAAAACCAAACACCACATATTCTCACTTATAGGCAGGTGTTGAACAATGAGAACACATGGATACAGGGAGGGGAGTATCAAAATCAAACAATGGGGTCTGTTGGGTGGCAGCTAGGGGAGGGACAGTGAGGGGTGGGGAGGTTGGGGAGGGATAACATGGGGAGAAATGACAGATATAGGTGACAAGGGAATGGAGGCAGCAAACCACATTGCCATGTATGTACCTATGCAACAATCCTGCATGATATGCACGTGTACTTTAGAACTTAAAGTGCAATAAAAAAAATTTGAAAAGCAAATACTAATAATCTCAGTAAACTAGAAATACAAGAGAATTCCCTCAACCTGTCAAAGGGCATCTTTAATATCTACTGCTAATATTCCATGTAATGATGAAAGACTGAATGCTTTCCCCTAAGACTGAGAATAAGACAGAGATGTCAGCTCTTACCACTTCTATTCAACATAGCCACTGTGATCATTTTTTAATTGGGAGTGGGGAGAAACAGTGAGGGAAGAATAAAAATAAAAGGCATTTAGAATGAAAAGAAATAAGTAAAACTGTCTATTCACAGATACAATCATCTGTGTAGAAAATCAAATAAAATCCATTACCAAGTTACTGAAATCAGCAAGTAAGTTTTACAACATTCCAGGATCTATAATCAATATACAAAAATCAATTGCATTTCTGTATGTTAGAAGTAAACAATTACAAATTGAAATTTTAAAAATAATACTATTTACAATAGCATTAAAATATAAAATTCTTGGGAATAAACCTGACAAATATGTGGAATATCTGTACACTGACAACTAAAAAGCATTGCTAAGAAAAATTAAAGAACACTTAAGTAACTGGTTCTAAGATTCACATGGCATACAGATGATC